ACAGTGGCATGGCGCAAGAGGAACATCCTTCAGGAAAATTCTGACCCACGGAAATTGTGGACCGCGGCACGAATTAGTCGCCAGCAGAAAGACGACCCGCCGTGCAGGAGTGGCATGGCGCAAGAATTTCAACAGGAAATATCTGAACAGGGACAATGTTGGGCAAGAAACCCGCAAAAGACAAACGGAGAAGAGACGTTGGAAGGGCATGGAGTGCAACAATGACATAAGGGACCGAGGCTTGAAAGAAGCAACTACGAGGCAGCAAGCAAATAAAGGATCCAACCACGAACGATATCGAAGGGCGACGCCCAGGCGAGCGAGCACCCCTGGGAAGCAAATGAACGCGCAAGAAGGGCCTTTGTGAGATTTTCAGAGAGAACATCATGGAGCATGTAGTCAGAACTTCCAATGGGTTGCGGAAAATGAGGAAATGGACCTTGTGGAGGGGTAGGCCAATGGATATGAGATTTGGCAATTGGTATGTACGAAGTTAGTATAGGGCAGGTTCGCTCAGGGCAGTGGCGGAAGAAATCTTTAAAATATAAGTTAGAATTAGAGGTGGTACAGGAGGTCAGATGGGATGGAGGTGGCATTACACCAGCAGGCGAATATACATTTTTCTATGGAAAGGAGAATGAAAATCATGAATTAGGTACAGGTTTTTTTCGTACATAAGAGAACCTTATCAGCAGTTAAGAGGTAGAGTTCGTTAGTGATAGGATATTATATATGATACTAAAAGGTTACGGATGATGACGCCCAAACAGAACATAAAATTGATGACATAAGGACATGTTCGATGAAGAATTAGAACATGTATTTGATAAATTCCCGAAGTACACTGTAAAAATTTTGCTAGGAGATTTCAATGCCAAAGTAGGGAGGGAAGAAATTTTCAAACCAGCGATTGGGAATGTAAGTTTGCATGAAATTAGTAATCATAACGGAGTTAGAGTAGCAAACTTTGCCGCAACAAAAAGTCTTACTGTCAAAAGCACAATGTTCCCACATCGTAACATCCACAAATTTACTTGGACATCCCCTGATGGGAAGATACACGATCAAATAGACCATATTTTGATAGATAGGAGAAGGAATTCAAGTATACTTTATGTCCGAGCATTCAGGGCAGCAAATTGTGATACTGACCACTACCTGGTGGTGGCAAAGGTTAAGGAAAGGCTTTCAGTGAGCAAACAAAGAACGCATAGAGTTCGTATGGAGAGATTCAAACTCAATAAATTAAATGTGGTAGAGGGTAAAGGGCAGTATCGTGTTGAAATCTCAAATAGGTTCGCGGCTTTAGAAAAATTAACCACCAAGGTGGATGTTAATAAAGCTTGGGAAACTATTAGAGAGAACATAAAAATTTATGCAGAGGAGAATCTAGGTTATTATGAAATGAAGAAGCATAAACTAATGGTTCAATGAAGGATAGTCAAAATTACTAGACTAAAGAAAACAAGCCAAATTGCAATGGTTGCAGGATCCAAGCGAAATAAATAGGGATTATCTGAACAATATAAGACATGAAACCAGCAGGCATTTCAGGAATAAAAAGAGGGAATATCCGAAAGACAAAATTTATGAGCTTGTAATGAACAGTGAGAACAAGAACATCAGAGACCTGTATAGAGGAATAAATGACTTTAAGATGGGTGACTAACCTAGCGGTAACTTAGTGAACGATGAGAATGGTGATCTTCTTGCAGATTCCCACATTTTGAATAGGTGGAGGAGCTACTTCTCTCAGTTATTGAATGTACACAGTGTCAGTGATATTAGGCAGATAGAAATATACAATACAGCTGAGCCGTTAGTACCTGATACTAGCCCTTTTGAGGTTGAAATTGCCATCGCAAATTGAAAAGGTTTAAATCGCCATGAAGTGATAAAATTCCGGCAGAACTGATTCAAGGAAGAGTTAAAATATTGCGTTCTAAGATCCATAAGCTAATTACTTCTATTTGGCATAAGGAAAAATTGCCTGATCAGTGGAAGGAATCTATTATTGTATCAATTTCTACGATGAATTTATTGAGGACCATCAGTGTGGATTTCGACGTAACGGATCAACTACTGATCAGAGCTGCTGCATTCGTCAGATACTGGAGAAAAAATGTGAGTATTATGAGACAGTACATCAGCTATTCGTTGACATCAAGAAAGCCTAGATTCAGTTAGGAAGAAAGTATTGTACAATATTTTTATAGAGTTTGGAGTATCCATGAAACTAGTCGGGTTGATTCAAATGTGTTTAAACGAAACGTAAAGTAAAGTCCGTAAAGGTATATTTTTGTTTGGCAGTCACCCTATACAGAATGGTATAAAACAAGGAGATGCTTTAATGCCACTACTTTTCAACTTTGCTTTAGAATATAGTCATCGTTATTAGTGACTAGAGACAGGATTCGGAAAGGTAATTGAATTTATTAACAGCCCATAAGTTGTAATTGCAATTAATTATAACACTGTTACTAAGTTACACAACTCACTATCACTCCACCCTAATCCCTTTAGTCTATTTCCACCAGTCTTCAAGTATTTATAATACGGGAGCTATGAAAGTCTCATTGAACCATATACTCCCAATATCACTGCTCTATAGCACTCATAAAACGTTCAAATCACTTGTTCAGGTCTTCTTTCATTACGAACCTCCCGAGACTCTTTCTCTCGCCGAGAACCGACTCCTTGGTCCAAGTCCAAGTCACATTGCGACTGACGGTCAGTGAGTCAGTAAGTCTTGGTGTCGAGCCCCATCTGGGCTCATGACCAGATATTTATTACTGTTTGGCATTTACGGTCTTGTTTTTGTGGGGCGCCTTCTCTGACGAGAGGACGGGTCTGCCTTTTGTACGAGTATATGCTGCTGGCCCTTGTCAGTGCAGTCGCCTTCTCGGTCTGAGTCCCTTGGGGCTCGAGACCATATTTTACTGTCTCAGATTTGAGGCTTCCCTTTTCGTCGCCTCCTACGACTCGCATGGTCACGGTGGACGTATTCGACCCCGCCTCCACACGGGTCCGATCTTTCAGGGCAGCAGATTGTGATACTGACTCCTTAGGAAGTCCAGTCTCTCCAATAAACCCTCGCACTGAGACGCGGAAAACACAGCTTACTCTTCTGTTACGTATCCATCGCGTCTACAGAGGCGTTGTCCAGCAAAGCTTTGATCAGTTGCTGCCGAGACGTGTTTACCGCAGGGCCGTGCGGGTCAGCAACGAACGTCATGCGGGTCAGCACGGCACGACATGGCACAGAGGAAACGCCGCTTTTCTTATTGTTGCGTAATCGCCGTGTTCATAGATTTCTGTGGCTCAACGATTCTTGCTTGGCGTATATACGCCACATTATGCCATTAGGAAGGTCAAGGAAAACCAGGTGCAACTAAAACTAAATGGGAAATATCAACTGCTGCTCTATGCTGATGATGTTAATCTACTAGGTGATAACATAGATACCATAAAGAAAAATAGAGGAATTTTAATTGACGCTATTAAGGAGGTTCGTCTAGAAGTACACACAGAGTAAACCAAATATGTATTGCCGCCTCATCACCAGAACGCAGAACACATTCATGACATAGAGATAACTAAAATATGGCACAGTTAAAATATTTGGGAACGACAGTCACAAATCAGAATTTAATTCAGGAAGAATTTAAAATGAGACTGAACTCAGGTAATGTCTTCTACCATTCAGTTCAAGACCTTTCGTCTTCTCATATGCTGTCTGAAAACGTAAACATTATAATATTCAAAACTATGATTTTGCCCATGGTTCTGTATGGGTGTGACACTCGGTCTCTGACATTAAGAGATGAACAGAGACTGAGGGTGCTTGAGGACGTTGAGGAGAATTTTGGACCGAAGAGAAATGAAATGACAGGAGTTTGGAGAAAACTGCCTAATGAGGAGTTTCATAACTTGTACTTTTCTCCAAGTATGATTAGAATGACGAAGTCAAGGAGGATAAGATATGTTGAGCATGTAGCACAAATAGGGAAGAAGAGGAATGCATATTGGATATTGGTGGGAAAGCCAGAAGGAAAGAGACAAATAGGAAGATCGAGACGTAGGTACGGGGACAATATTAAAATAAATCTTAAGAGAGTTGGGTTGGGCTGGTATGGATTGGATTGATCTGGCTCAGAACAGGGAAGAGCGGATGGCTCTTGTGAACACGGTTATGAACCTTTGGGTTCCATAAAATTCTGGGAAGTTCTTGAGTATCTCCACAATTGGCGGCTTCTGAAGAAAGGGCTCAGCTCCATGATTGAGTTTTACACTCATGTCGTGAAAAGCAGGTGATGTGTCATTGCGCATGGCATCCCATATTGGTCGCTTTATGCTTTAAAGGGATGCCAAGAACAGGGAGAGCAGCGGGCATGCACGGCATGTGGCTCAGTCAATTTATTTGGCGCTGAAAATTAGGTATACAGTTGGTTCGGCGTCGGTCAATAAACGATAAATCAATCAGTAATGCGAAACAATTCAAATCAGCTAAAAGCAGTCCACAATGAGATCATTTTCGAGTTAAATGGACCTGGAATAATATCCTAGAAATGGGCTTAATTAATGTAACGCGAAAATCCTTAACACTGAGATAAATCAGTTGCTACTAGGAATCTAAGTTTCATTTTCACAGCAGCAGACATCTAAAGTGTCCATTGCGAATAGGTGGTTGCTCCAGTTCTGGCCGAAATTTAAGTTTACATGTTTAATTCATAACGAAAAAAGTCGCCAATTTATAGTGAAATTAGTGTGGCTCAAGCGATCAGAAGCCCCAGCATGGTGTGGTTTTAGATAAGTTCTTAAATGTGTTCTTATTGTTTTCCAGACGTCTATTAAAGTTGAACCTTTTGCACTGGACCCTTCAATTACCTTCTTCGGCAAACACTCCAAACCAAATACCTTAGGACTGATATCACGCTGTACAGAAAGATTGTACCATCTCCAATACTGTAAATCAATTTTAAGCAGATGGCTAGACTTACCTTACAACGCGGCGGATGCCCGTGTCGCTCTGTTTGTACTGTGTAGTCATTCTCAAACACATATTACACCACAATAGCTTCACTGATTCCTGTTATGATACAACACTTATTAACAGAAATTTCGCATTACTACAAGAACATATATCTTGCACGTACAACAGTCAACAGTGTCAACATACGGGCACAAAGAACCAACGACGCTTTTCACAAAAGGAGTCCGGTGATCTCATAGGCACAAAATTAATGTTATCAGCTAACTACAGCAGTTCGGAATATCACGACGAGGCCAAAATAACTATTCGTAACAAAAGAATGTGGGAGGCGTAACAGCTACAGAGGAAATCCGAGAGGCAATGTTTCTTTGCCGGGGACTTAGAGGCGACTGGAGCTGCCTGTATTCTGTCTGTTCGCATGTTCTTTTTACTCTTCTTCTTGTGCAGCTTTCTACTTAGGCGGTGCTACTACCTTTCCTGCGAACTTTCTCCGACTGCCTTGAGCCTTGGTGACTCACGGGGGTGTCTATCTGCACTACTCCTAATTGTCTCACTCCCATTGGTTGTCGGTACTCTTCTTTATCAGGAGGTCACTGCCTGGAGACAAGTTTATCGTGTTTTCCCACACTTCGCGAAAATTCCGTAATGGTATCATGACTTTCCCTCAGTCACTGATAAAAGTTTCTTACAAGTACGATTTCTCCTGTCTTCACGAAAATTCCATAATTGTATAGGTACCACATTTTCCTTAGTCCTCCAGAGAAATTTCATGATACCACGACTTTTCCTCAGACTCACAAAAATGCCTTACAACATACTCTTCTCAAACCCAACGAAAAATCCGTAATAGTGGCCCGATTTTTCACAGTCGGACTGTACTTTGACGCTATGACGAACTCAGTTGACAACGTGTCATTAAGTAAGCAAAGTAATAAAGGTCTTGCAGCTCGCAGTGCCAGAGATATTCGACCGTAAGGGGTGAGTAGGTGCCCACGATGGACGTATTTAGATCAATATAATCCTGTATTTCTACGTATAATAATAGTTCATAATACAGTACTAGGTCTATTATCACCATCAGCAGTACTTAACAATAGGTCTACTTGACATTCATTTGCTTTATTGGTTGAACGTGCAAATGGAGTATTCGTTGAAAATGCACATATCCATTTTCTAAAGTTAACCTCGTCGTTAATTGATAGATCGGAGCTGAATTACCGTGGTTCGATTCCCGGCAGGTACAGATATTTATTTTCAGCACCACGTTAGCACCGGCTATGAGGCCCACACAACCAACTACCGAGTAAAGAGGACGTAGAGAACAGATGACCACTCTACATGATCTGCAGCATGGGATCAGTGGCATTTTACCGCCATTTCCCAATAGGTATTTTTTAAACTTTATGATCAAAGAGACAGAACTCTACATTAGACACTGTTTTACGTGCGTACTAGCGGAAAAGTCTGTTGAAGTTTACAGGGAGGCGAAACACCATTCTGTCATGAACACCACAAAGAACTGTTAGTTTGCTTCAGCAGCAGCTGTCACTTCCAAAGGATCTCCCTTTGTTTCTCTGCGTTCTATACGTCATGTGTACGAAGTGAATGCATATATGGCAGATCATGTCTGTCTTCACGTTTTAAGTCAAGATCCTCTTGACGGGTGTTGTTGAAATCTGGTATGGACACCATGACATCAGACGGTACCCAAACTTATACTTTTTAATTTCCTACTATCAGTAATACAACATGAAAAAAGCACAAACTTATGAGGGTGAAGCGACACTAAAAAAAAAACTTAAAAAAGATATCCCTGCAACACGCCTCGAAGGCCCATAGGGTTATGAGACGTCGAGGCTCCCACATCTTCTAGACAATTAGCTCACAGATGGCGGCAAGGTTTTCAGCCTTACACTCCGGCCGCCTTCTTCCCCCCACGAAGATTCCTGGTACTCGCTTATATTAGAGACTGAGTCGACCCCAGGGCCATAGTACGGCTGGAAAGATTAGGTAAACTGAAAAATCCAATGACCTCATCGGGGACTGAACCCGCGACCTACTGCCTTAACCAACTAAGCTATCGCGTACCCCTGATATGATTCTCTTAAAGTAAAAAAGTAAAGTAAAGTTGTCCCTGTGCTTAACTAATTAAGTACTGTCATGAATGTGTATGGGGGAACAGATGTACGTGTGTGAGCCCTTCTGGAGGAGCCGCCAATTCTGCAGCTACTCATGAAATCCCAGCATTTTATGGAAACCGAAGGTTCATTATCGTGTTTACAAGAGCCCTCCACTGGTCCCTATCCTGAGCCAGACCAATCCAATCTAAACCATCCCATCCTATCTCTCTAAGATCAATTTTAATATTGTCCACCCACCTAAGCCTTGGTTTTCCCAGTGGTCTCTTTCCTTCTGGCTTTCCCACCGATATCCTATACGCTTTCCTCGTCACCCCTATTCGTGCTACATGCCCTGCCCACCTCATCCTCCTTGACTTGATCATTATAATTAAACTTGGAGAAGAGTACAAGTTATGAAGCTCCTCATTATGTAGTTTTCTCCAGCCTCCTGTCACTTTATCTCTCTTCCGTCTAAATATTCTCTTCAACATCCTATTCTCAAACACCCTCAATATATGATTCTCCCTTAATGTCAGAGATCAACTTTCATACCCATACAGAACCACAGGCAAAATTATAGTTTAGTATATTCTAATTTTTAAGTTTTTGGACAGCAGACGAGAAGAAAAAAGGTTCTGGACTGAATGGCAACAAGCATTACCCGAGTTCAATCTTCTCTTACTTTCCTCCTGAATCAGGTTTCGATCTGTTATCGTTGCTCCCAAATATCTGAACTGTGCCACGTTTTCAAAACATCTGTTTCCTATCTTTATGTCATGATTTTGCCCCGCATTTTGATGACGAGACAGCAACATATACTTAGTTTTCTCTGTTTACTTCTAGGCCAACCTCTTTACTTACATCAATTACAGTTTGTGTGTTTTTCTTTATGGTATCTACCCAATAGATTCACATCATCGGCGTAGACCAACAGCTGATGTGTCCCATTTAATTTTAGTCCCACCTGGTTTCCCTGGACCTTCCTAATGGCATATTGTAAGGCAAAGCTGAAAAGGATTGGCGATAAAGCATCTCCTTGTTTTAGACCATTCTGGATAGGAAATTTATCAGACAAATATTTACCTACAGGGACTTTACTATATGTTTCGTTTAAACACATTTTAATCAACCTAACTAGTTACATGGGTAACCTAAACTCTATTAGAATATTGTACAATACTTCCCTCCTAACTGAATCATAGGCTTTCTTGAAGTCTATGAATAGCTGATGTACTGTCTCATTATACTCCCATTTTTTCTTCAATATCTGATGAATGCAGAAGATCTGACCTGTAGTTGATCTGTTACGTCGAAACTCACACTGATGATCCCAAATAATTTTATCTATATATGGACTTAACCCTGAGAGAAGAACATTGTATAAACTTTTGTATGAAGTTGATAGCAGTGATATCCCCCGATAATAACTACAGTCAGTTTTATCACCCTTCTTGTGAACTGGTACAATAATAGACTCCCTCCACTGATCAGGCAATTTGTCCTTATGCCAAATAGAAGTAATTAGATTGTGGATCTTAGAACGTAATATTTCGCCTCCTGCTTGAATAAGTTCTGCCGGAATTTGAATACTACCTGGCGATTTATACCGTTTCAATTTTGCAATATCACTTTCAAGGTCAAAAGGACTAGGATCAGGTATTAACGGCTCATCTGTATGGATTTTGTCTGCCTGACATCACTGACCCTATGTACATTCAGTAACTGAGAGAATTAGTTCCTCCACCTGTTCAAAATGTTGTGGGAATCTGCAAGCAGATCACCGTTTTCATCCTTCACTAAGTTACTGCTAGGCTGGTAACCCCTCTTAAAGTCATTTGTTCCTCTATACGGGTCTCCAATGTTCTTGTTCTTACTGTTCATTGCAAACTCATCAACTTTGTCTTTCAGATATTCCCTCTTTTTGCTCCTGAAATTCCTGCTGGTTTCACGTCTTATATTGTTCAGATGTACAGATCCAAATAATGACTACGGCTCTAGTGGGGGTGAATGGTCAGTCACGTAATAAAGTGACCTGAAACTGCGTACGGTAACAAATCTCGAAGGTTATGTAATTTTTGTTATGGTTTATTTCTGTCGTAAAATATAAGACAACAAAGTGTCAGTTGCACGAAACCTATTTAGTTGCCGGTTTTGCGGTGATAATGAACAACTCGCATGTGAGGTTTGGTACAGATATATATTATACACATGCCTACAAATCCTGTACTAAATATTTTTCTAAACAGAAAATTAGAGAATTATGTGCGACAGTTTAGCAGGGAGCAGTACAGTTGTTGTATTTAAAGGTAAACGTGTTCATGAAACATGTTCGGTAACATCCAGAAACATCCAGAATGCTGAGGTGCACAGAATGGCTGAGGAAACTCTGTGTTCGGATTACGCCATTTCAGTGCTAACATCCCGATGTCGAGTAGTTCGTGGGTAAACGTAAATACGTTTCATACGTTCGTCTAGAGAAGAATTCGTGTGTTGTACACTGGAGAGTGAATGAAATTCATTACAATATAACTGTCCCGTCAAAGAAATTTATGCCATTCATTCATTACGGTTGGAAGAAACTGCCGGGTGAGTTTCATCTATTGTAATAAATAAAGCATGCTTGAAATTTTACTCTGAGCCGACTTCACTTCCACTGGCAGCAAAAGTAAACAATCCAAAAGGAACTTCTGAACTATTTAGTCTCGATGAGGCAGAGGGGCAGTGGTCGACTGAAGCGACAGCTGAACTCCTATATGACACTTTTTTTAAGTATGCTGTCTAATACTGAAAATGGCTTGATTCTGATGTAACTGAAGATCCAGGAAGAAATTGCAGTACAATAAAATGAGAATGGAGATAGATACCGTGCAAGAATCAACAAGCGGCTTGCAGAGTGAGATTAGTGTTATTGCAATTACTTGGTAGGATATATATTAAGTAGGGAGAAGGGAACAATTTATAGACAATTTTGGCCCCCAAAATTAAGCAAAAACTAGACTGAAATTGTGGATATGTTCAAATTTTCCTCACAAATAAGTTATAGTCCGCGAGACAAATATTTATGTCGAACAAGGTATAAAATCTTGGAGAATTCATTTACCATTTCGATGTATGATTAGAGACTGGAAACCTGGCAGTGAAAAAGAGATTTACACACGTGGGTCGCTCTGACGATTTTCATGCTAATGGATATACCTCAAAATCCCGTAATTAAGAACGTATTTAAAGAAAAATCTGTTTTGCCAACATCTATATTTTGTTCTGTAACATCAATTGGCCGATT